AGTCATCAATAGAAAGGACAGAAATACTACCATTTGAAAAACATGGATGAGGGGCTGGAGAAATGGTTTAATGGTTAAAAACACTAGTTATTCTTGCAGAAGACCCATTGAATCCCAGCACCCACATGGCAGCTAACAACTGTCCATAATTCCAGTTCCAGGGCCTCTTCTGTCCTCCGTGGGCATTGCACAACACAGGTGCACTTACATACATGCAAACACATAAAATAAAAATAACTTTAAATTATTTTTTAAAAAGAAAAACATGGATGAAACTAAAAGGCATTAAGTGAAACAGGTCAAATAGAGGGAAAAAAAAATAGTATGATTCCACATGTGGGACCTAAAAGGTCAAACTCAGGGAAAGATAGTAAAGTGGTATGGACCAGGAGCAGGAGCCCATGGGAAGGGGGCAGGGGCAAGAATGGGATGATGTTAGTCAAAAGGCATAAACTTTCAACTGAAGGAATAAGTTCTGAGGTTCAGAAGTACAGCATGGCAACTACTTGTAATGCTGAAATTTGTAAGTGCCTCTTAAGTGCTCTCACCGCACAAATGATAGCTCTATGATGAACTGGATAGGCTAATTTAACTGTGGTAATCCTTTTCTAATGTATACATTTATCAAATCATCATGAACTTATCACATTACATACATTTAATTTCATTGGTCAACAAATAAGAGGAGGGGCTAGAGAGATGGCTCAGTGGTTAAGAGCACTTGCTGCTCTTCCATAGAACCTGAGTTCATTCCCAGCACCCATGGCAGATGGCTCTCAACTGCCTGTGACTCTAGCTCCAGGGGGTACAACACCCTCTTTTAGCTTCTGTGGGTACCTGCACACATGTGGTATATACTTACCCCCAGACACACACATACACACAAAAATATTTTTTAAAAAAATAAGTGCTCTTATTTTAAAAATCATGAGAGCACTATCTACCCTTTAGTCATTTACTAAAGTTTTTGACTGCTGAGCAGCAAGCATCACATACAATGATGATGCAATCACTGGCTCAATTCTTGGACAAGATACAAAATAATTATACAACAAACTTTATAAACATTGTGATGAGGAGTGTGAGAAGCAACTAACAAGATGCTTAACTAACACGGGGTGTCAGGAACAAAAGTATGGGGCTAGAGGGGGCACCTGCACACACATAGTGCACACACACACACACACACACACACATAAAATAAATAAATCTTTTTTAAAACAATGAAAGTGAGCTAGGCATGGTGGTGCACGTTTTTAATGCCTGTACTCAGGAGGCAGAGGCAGGCAAATCTCTGTGAAATTGAGGCCAGCCTGGTCTACACAACAAATTTCAGGCCAGCTGGAACTACAAGGAAACCCTGTCTCAAAACAAACAAACAAACAAACAAACAAACAAAATGGGCTGGAGAGATGGCTCAGAGGTTAAGAGCACTGACTGCTCTTGCAGAGGACCCAGGTTCAAGTCCCAGCACCAACATGGTGGCTAACAACCATCCATAACTCCAGTTCCAGGAGAGCCAACACCATCTTCTGACCTCCTTGGGCACTGGACGACATGGGCGCACTACACACATGCAAGTAATATACACATACAATAAAAATAATAAATAAAATATATGTTAAAAACCAAACCAAAACAAAAAGAATGAAAGCCTAGTTGAACATACAGAAAAGATATAGCAAAACACACAAAGTGAGACTGGAATTATGCAAAACAAAGAATTATACAATAATAGGAATTTGGGAATTTATCCTAAATGAAACATGGAAACCTAGATTTTTCTCATAATGGTAAGTTATTTCTGAAACTGTTCTATAATCCACCCCACTAGACAGTAAACTCCATAAAGACAGTGATATATCTTTGTGTCACTGTTCTATTCTTGATACTTGATACGTAGAATAGGGCAGGTAATCAAATATTTATTGAGTCTAAATGACTTCACATTGTTGAAGAGAATATTGTTTTATAATACGTTTATACATGGCATAATTTTTTTTTCTCCAGAATAATAATGTATTCAAATTTCTCTTGGGGGGGGTCTTTTTGAGACAGGGTCTCCCTGTAGCCCCAGCTGGCCTGGAACTCATTATGTAGACTAGACCAGGCTGGCCCCAAACAGAGATCCACCAGCCTCTGCCTCCCAAGTGCTGGGATTAAAGGCATGTACCACCATGCCCAGCAAATATTTTCTAATCTTTATAGTTGTTTTCTTGATCTTTTTCCCCCCAAAAGATTTAACAGTCTAGTGTGTGCGTGTTTCTTTAGGTAGGTCACCTGTGTGCACGGAAAACCTGAGGTGTCATTCCTCAGGCATCTGAGGAATGCTTTGCTAAAAACAAGGTCTCCCACTGTCCTGAGCTTCGCCACGTAGGCTAGACTCACTGGCCAGTGAGTTTCCAAGCATCCAACCATCTCTACTTTCTATTTCGCCATCACTGGGATTCCAGGTGCATGCCTCCCACCCTGGCTTTTTGTGTGGGTTCTGGGGATGAAATGCAGGTACTGCTCTGGTAAGGCAAGCACTTCACTCACAGCCAAATGCTGTAGTAATTTTCTCTGAATTGTAAAGTTCCCTCCTAGAGGAAGATGAACTCAGGAACTAAACAAACTTCACAAATTGGACAGCTGACACTAATGGGATTTACAGTGGTCCTCCCCATGGTTAAAGAAGCAGGAAGGAACTGCCTGGCTCTGACGGAGCTACTGGAAGTTGTGCAGAGAACTCCAGAGCTGCAGCTTCCATGAGTCATCCCCTAGGCTAAGATAGGCTTTTCAGTGATGCAGCTACCTGAGAATCAGCCATGCTGCTATAGCCCCTCACCCCCACTCCTGAAAGTATCCCCACTAAAATTCACCAAGTTGGACATTAGTGGTATCGTTATTTTGGTCTGTCAACACTTCTCTATATGGGTTAAATAGATGTTTGTTCATATCTCCCCAAGAACAGTGTCACACAACATCATCTCCTCAGCACAAGATTCTATTTTTTAATATTTTATTTATTTTTGGGTTTTGAGACAGAGTCTTCCTTATAGCCCCAGTAGGCCTGGATTGTTATGTAAACTAGACTGGTCTCCATCACACAGAAATCTGCCTGCCTCTTGCCCCGTTGAATGCTAGGATTAAAGGCATGTGTCTCCACTCCTGACAGGATTCTATTTTTTTAAAGTATAGGGTAGGCAGGAGCTGGAGCTGTGGTCCCCTCCTGTTAATCTTGGAGGTCTAATCCCCTCTTGTGAGCCACAGTTCCATACTCCTCTTGTGGTGGGCGATGGTAGAAAAGATTGGAGGATGGAGGACTTCCCAACGTTGGGCAGCAGTTTCAGCTTTCTCTGAGGGGCGGCACTCCCTACAACTCCCTTCCCCGAGTTCCCAGTTTGTACATGGCAATGGCTTTGCCTTTATTCTGACCTTATCCTGGGGACAGGAGAGGTTTCTATGATTTACAGTCTAGTCTTTGGAGGACTATTCTCTAGCCATGGTCTTGACTCTACATGTGGACCTGGGTACCCAGGCCTTGACGCTGGACCTTTCCCATTCTCAGGCACTAAGATTTTTTCCATCATCTTTCTATTACTCCTTTACAGCCCCGTGTGCCTTCCCCTGTGCCCTACAGATCATGTAAAACACCTAACTGAACTTCTAGAGAGGAAAATCAGTCTGGGAAGTTAATTTTTAAAGTACTTTAAAGCTCTCAAATTAAAAATGCCTCATTGTATTTTAGAATGTAAATTCACAATTCTATATGTCTACTATAATTTTTTAGTATTATTCACTGACAAAATTATACTAGCAAACTTCAACAATACTGTGAAATTTCTCATCGTTTCTGTAATATGAGTTTGGCAAGTGCCTTTACCTGCTGAACCATCTCACCAAGTCTACACTCATTTTTTTAAAGCCCATAAAAATAATTGTATATACTGAATATATATACATAGATAATAAAGACATTTTAATGGGTAAGAAGGATGTAGAATAATTGTAAGATATTGATTTCCATTAGAAAGGAAGGAAGAAGAAAAAGATTGGCGAGAACTATAAAAGGAAGCATTCCAAACCCAAGAAACAGTAAAATGTCATCACTTGTCACTTAAGACTCATGATGTATAAGTATCTATTATTCTGTAACCTTTTCAAAATGCTTGCAATGTTTCACAATAAATAGATGATTTTTCAATCTTATATATCCTACTTAATTTACAGTGATAAGTACTGATTTGGTGAACCTATATAAAGTACAGCAGTGTGCAGGGTTGTGGAGCCACAAGGTAACAGCTAAGGCAGGGATCACTAGCATTTCCACAATAAAATAGAAAACAAAATTCAAAACTATTCTAGTAATGACAAAAGGAAATGACTTCCAGTATGAGTGGAGGAAATAACTAAAACTGACTGAACATTCCATGAAGTGCTACCATCTGATGATGACAACAAAACAAGATGTTAAAACAACGTTTTAATACATGTGAAATGCATGACATTGAATGGAGTCAGAATGAAGATTTTAGGGTGAGGCCCTGGGAAGATGTAGAACTTAGGATGCAGCAGGTAAGGCCTTTCCTGCTGACCTGCATCGAGTAGCTCCAAGCAGAAAGGAAAAAGCACTGACACACTGCAGATGGAAATCCCACCTGTGCAGATAGATGCAAAATCCTACTACCCTATTTGCTTTTGTATTTTAGTAAACATCTATTGAACAAAAGATATACAATACTCAAGGAAGGTCCCGTGTATAAGTTCCAGAGGAGCCCCAGATTACACTGTTTCCCAACCTTTAACAAATGTAACAAAGGACAATAAATAATTCCAACAAGGAAATGTTTTTAAAAAGAAAACCACAATGGTTACCCCAATGAGAATTCTTTGAAGAAGGACTAACACAAATGTCTTCAAATGAGGCAGACAGTCTCGGCCTGCACATTTAGATTCTCCAGGTTTGGCAAGTTCTATCTACACTGTGATTAGAAAATATGTTACTACCACAGACCTACCTTCAGTTTTCTGCTGTAGAACTGTTGTCAAATGCTCTATAGCTTCATCCACATGCAGCCCATGGAGGTCTAAAACATTCTGAGGCAACAGGGAGGCATTGACTTTCTCAAAGATCTCCACAGCAGCGAGGTGATTAGCTTCTTTCATTTTCTGCTCATGAAGACTACCCTGTAACCATAAACACATTGCCAACAATCACTGTAGATATTTGCTACTTGGACAATCAAAAAAGTAAAAATGCCCTAAATAAAAGCCAAAACAATAAATCTAACATCTTGATATAACAAGCTAAAAGACAAAACAAACCAAAATTTAGGAAAAAAATCTGTAAATAATATAGTTCTTAAACTACTCTATCACTATAAAAACAACATTTTTATTTTTAAATTTATTTAATTTTATTTATTATTTTTATTTTATGTGTATGAGTACATTGCCTGCATGTAGGTAGGTACACTGGTGTCATGCACTGCCCACCGAGGGCATCATATCTCCTGGAACTAGAGTTACAGATGGTTGTTAGCTGCCATGTGGGTACTGGGAACCAAACCCAGGTCCTCTGCAAGAGCAGCCAGTGCTCTTAACCGCTGAACCATCTCTCCAGCCCCCAAAACAAATTTATTAACTAAAAATCATAAACAGAAACTTAGCTGAACAATATCTAGTTCAAGAAAGATTCAACAGATTTATTACTTGATTAAGAAAGTATATTCTTTGATAATCCTAGGTCTCAGCCTGTTGATCCCTTCAAATATCTCCCAATTACCTGCTGAAGTCATCCCTCAAGGTCTGCTGTTGTCATTCCTCAAGGTCTGCTGTTAAGGCTCAAAGGATTATACCACTTTGACACCTAATATTCAGTTACAAGAAAGTAAGCCATATGGAACAATAAAAATAAAAACATTATCATGTAAAATGAGCCCAGGAAGAAATTTTACTCTCTTGAAACATACTGATATCATGCCAAGTGTAGTGGCATGTGCCTTTAATCCCAGCACTGGGAAAGTGGAAGCAGATGAATTTCTGTGAGTTAAGGGCCAGCCTGATCTACATAATGAGTTCCAGGTCAGTCAGATATATATATATGGATCCTGTCTCAAAAAAACAAACAAAAAAACAAAGTATTACTATCTCTTTCTTCTTTGTGACTATAAAAATGATGCTTGGAGGTTAAGGAGTTTGGCTTTATGGTTAAGAGTGCTTGCTGTAAAATTATGAAGATCTGAATTCAAATTCACATAAAAAGGTGGGCATACCTGTAACCCCAGCCTTGGGAGGCAGAGACAGGTGGACCCTGGGAGCTCTCTGGAAAGCCAGCCTAGCTAAAAAGGTAAGATTCCAATTCAGCAAGAAACCCTGTGTCGAGGCAATAAAGGAGAGAGTGATGGAAGACACCCAATGTCCTCCTTTGGCCTCTGTTATGTGCATAGAAGCAGGTGCCTGCACACTCATGTACATGTATCACACATATATACATCACACACACAACACAACACCACACACACACACACACACACACACACACACACACAGATATACACAGATGCAAGAAAGAAAAAGTGATGCTTTACTAAAAGTTCAAACATGATAGACAATGTAAGACCCATGTAATTCCACCCTAATACAATCTTTTCTGCCTCTTTCTTCCAGTACTTCTGTTCACACATGCGACTAAATGATATATTGTTCAGAAGCCCACCAAATGATTCAATATAAACTAAAGAAAATTACTATGAAAAACAACCATAAATCCCAGGTCACAAACCTATATTCCTAGCTACTTGGAAGGCAGAAGCACAAGAATCATAAGTTCAAGGCTAGCCTGGACAATTTAATGAACCTCTGTCTCAAAAGATTTTTTTCTTAAAAAGAAGAAAAAGAGACTGGAGAGATGGCTCAGGTCCATTGCCAGTTCCCACACGGTAGCTAACAACCATCCGTAACTCCAGTTCCAAGGAAATCCAAGAGCCTCTTCTCACCTCCAAGGGCATTGCACAACATGGGTGTACTTACATATATGCAGGCAATATACTCATACACATAAATAAAATAAAAAATAGTATTTTTTTAAAGCCTGTTTGGGCTGGAGAGATGGCTCAGCAATTAAGAGCACTGGCTGTTCTTATAGAAGATCCAGGTTCAAATCCCAGCACCCACATAGTGGCTAACAGCCATCTATAACTCCAGTTCCAGGGGATTCAATGCCCTCTTCTGACCTCCATGAGCACTGCATGACATAGGTACACTTACATATATGCAGGCAAAACACTCATACATATAAAATAGAAATAATAAATAAAATATTTAAAAATAAAAGAAAAAGTAAACTAAAAGAAGGTTGGAGAAGTAGTCGTAGAGTGCTTGGCCTCACACGTACAAGGCCTTAAATTCAACCCTGAGTATTATAGAACAAACTGAGGGCTGGAGAGATGGTTCAATGGTTAAGAGCACTGGTTGCTCTTGCAGAGGACCCAGGTTCAAATCTCAGCACCCACATCTGTAACTCCAGTTCATGGAAATTTGATGCCCTCTGCAGGCACTGCATGACATGGGTGCACTTACAAACATGCAGGCAATACACTCATACACATAAAATAAAAATAATACTTTTTTAAAAAAAGAATAAACTGTAATTCATGCAAGGCATACATAAAAAAGCAACAACAGGAACTGAGCATTCAAATGAGACATGTGTTTCTTTTATATCGGGACACTTTACATGTCACTTATATTATCTCTAAATTCATCCCCACACAGTGAAGTCAAGCTACAACATGTATAGCACTGTATGCTTCAAGGTCACTTAATGCCACACCTGACAAAGAAACAAACTGTAATGGGTTTTCTACTTTACCTGCTGAGCATAAAAGGTGGCCACATTTTTCTTCCCCATCCGATAGGCTTCCTTCGCTTTGCTGTAGCATTCACTCCTCTTCTGTTGGTGCAAGAAAGCCTCTGCCCTGTAGTCATCATACTCTGGGTACTCAAAATCCTGAAAAGATGGCTCACTGGGGGTATCTTCTGTCTCCTTTGGTTTCTTTGTCTAGATGTTACACAATAAATAATATACAAACAAAAAAATTTTAATGTTTGCCTCATTTCCAGAAAATGCATATAAAATCAAGGTTCTTAGTTAGGCATGGTTGCACAAGTCTATAATCCTAGCACTTGGGAGGTGGAGCAGGAAGATCAAGAGTTCAAGGCCAGCCTGGTCACACAGAGGTTTGGAGGCCAGTCTGGACTTCAAGAGATTGCTACAAAACAAAAACAAAAAAGTAGACTCCTGGGGCTCGAGAGATGGCTCAGCGGGTTAAGAGCACTGACTGCTCTTGCAGAGGACCCGGATTCGATGCCCAGCACCCACATGGCGGCTACAAACCATCCTTAACTCCAGTTCCAGGGGAATCCGAAGCCCTCTTCTGACCTTCGCAGCATTGCATGACACGGGTGCACGCACATACATGTAGGCAATACACTCGTATACATAAAATAAAAAATCACAAATAAAATATTTTTAAAAAGTAGACTCCCTTAACTTTTACTTTTTTTTTCCTCCAAAGAGATTTCCTCAGTGTCTAATTTTAGGTCAAGCATTTACAGACTACCAGTAACTTTTTCATGACATTAATGCTACCCCTTCTTTAACCACTCTTAGAAAACACTGAAGTGTTCTTTAAAATTGTTAAAATACAAATAGATCATAAAATCAAGCTAAAAGGCTAGGACTACAGAGGCAGAGGCAAAGGCAGGCAGATCTCTATGAGATCGAGACCAGTCTGGTCTACATAGCAAATTCCAGCAGACCAGCTGGTGCTACAGGGAAACCTCACCTCAAAAAGACCAAAAAAAAAAAAAAAAATTCAAACCAAAAGATAGAAGGTAAAATAGTCAAAATAATCAAAGAGTAATACTAATATACTCCACACAGAAATTTCTATTTTTGGTTTATATTTAAACCTTTTCAAAAGTTTCAAGTCTTGGATAGTGTTAAACACCTGCAATCCCCACTTTAGGGTGGAGGCAGGAGGATGGAGTTCAAGGTCATCCTTGACTACATGAAGCAGAACCACATGACATCTTGTCTCAGTTTCAAGGTAGCAATTTATAGTTTTGAAATCCAATTAAAAATAACTGAATACTTTATAAAAACAGAATGTCTTCTCAAGTTAGCATGACTGATAGATCATCAGAGCATTTACAGGGAAGTTTCAACCTGCTAATAACCTTTTAAAATAAGCCTGTGGCACGTAATTCCAGCCCTAGGGAGTACAAGGGAGTTTGACTAAGAACAGTGTGGGCTACATAGCAAGATCCTGTCTCAGAATCCAAAAACAGCAAGCGTGTGTGTGTGTGTGTGCACATGATATAATAATTATTCAAAACAGATCCTTAAAGAAGCAAAAGCCACTCTAATGTAAAACATAAGATAATAAAAATAATAATTATGCAAAGTTCCCCAGTGCTCTCCGCCAAGTAAGAAAACTGTATTTATAAAATAATATCCTTGGACAGTACATTCAAATGTCTCTAGAATTATCAAGAGCCATTGTTTAAAATTTTGAAATATAGTCATTTCTAAGTCAAGCTGACTTTCACTAATTTCTTCAAAGCATTATTAGCAGAGAACTGTTTACAAACAGCAATCTATTAGTTTATCCTAAGAGATATATGATTTTAATTGAGGGAAATCTTAAAAGTATTACAAGCCACACATGACATATCAAGTAATTTAATAAGTCTTTTATGAGCACTCAATACCAAAACCAAAAAAATTTGTAATTTTCAATACTATAGATAAACATGCTTTTACTGATATAATTAGCTAATACAGTAGGTTACTAGAATTCAAAATAATCTGAAAAATACTATTTTGTCAGAAATATTGTCAAGGATTATACTCCATCTTCAGCCTCAGCTCAGTTGCATCACTAACCTTTGAAATGTAGGTAAGTTTAATGACTTCAACCCGTGATGATCTGGAAGGTAGGTTCTGTGTATGATAATATACCATCCAAAACTGTCTTCCCTGGTGTCCAGTATGAAATACCTTCCAAGAAATTGCCCACTTTTCACTTTCTTCAATGTCTAAAAAAACCACAAATGCAATTCTGTCAATCTTCATAAGGCATTTCTGGGCTTGAACATTACATATTCGACCAAGAGCACCCATACCACCATAGTTCCAGCTTCCACAGCCACCCAGCTGCCAGGAGCAGCACCCATGATGGCCTGCCTGTGCTCTAACAGCCTCTTTAGGCATGTGCCTAGACATATGCACATGATTACATTTATTATTTTTATATGTATGAGTGTATTGTCTGCATGTAGGTAAGTGCACCTGTGTCATGCAATGCCCACAGAGAACAGAAGAGGCCGTCGGATCCCCTGGAACTGGAGTTATGGGCAGTTGTTAGCTGCCATGTGGATGCTGGGATTTGAACCCGGGTCTTCTGCAAGAACAACCAGTGTTCTTAACTGCTGAGCCATCTCTCCAGCCCCTATTTTTCTTAAATTTTTATTTATTTATTCATTTTTTGGTCTTTTGAGACAGGTTCTCCCTGTAGCCCCAGCTGGCCTGGAACTAACTATGTTGACCAGGCTGGCCTCGAACTCACAGAGGTCCACCTGTCTCTGCCTCCCGAGTGCTGGGATTAAAGGCATGCACCACCATAGATTTAAAACTTTATTATCACTTATTTTAAGTACTATATAAAATTATATGATATATATAGTATACATATATCACTAATTGGCAAAAATAAGCCAAGAAAGATTGGGACAAACTAGTCTAATACATAATAGTAGCTGGCTATATTATTTTGTTTACCTAGGCCAGAGGCTTGAAATAACAGATATCACTATACTCCCAACTCACTGACCGACCCAAATTTGTAAATCAGTCTTTTTATTTTTGCAACAAATACCCAGTCTATTTTATGAAAAAAGCCCACAACAAAAAAGGGGCCTCTTGTATTCCTAAAAATATTCAATCACAAGCTAATTTCTATCAATCTTCATATATTTTTAGTGCATGAGTTGCCTCCTAAATAACATAAAAAACTTGGGAAAGGATAAATAAAAACTTTCTAAGAATCACAAAAATTCCCATAGTACCTAACATTATGAACATAATAGTTTATAGAATTAGAGTCTCTATTGCTGTTGATACTAAAAAGTATAAATCAGGGCTGGAGAAATGACTCAGAGGTTAAGAGCACTAGCTGCTCTTACACAGGAGCTATGTTCGACTCCCAGCACCTACATGGCAGTTAACAACCATTCATAACTCCAGTTCCAGGGAATCTGACACTCTCTTCTGATCTCTGCAGGTACTGTACAACACAGATGCACTTACACACATGCAGGCAATACACTCGTACACATCAAAATAAAAATAATACATTTAAAAAAATTTTTTTAAATGCTCTTACACAGGAGCTATGTTCGACTCCCAGCACCTACATGGCAGTTAACAACCATTCATAACTCCAGTTCCAGGGAATCTGACACTCTCTTCTGATCTCTGCAGGTACTGTACAACACAGATGCACTTACACACATGCAGGCAATACACTCGTACACATCAAAATAAAAATAATACATTTAAAAAAATTTTTTTAAATATCAGATTCCCCTAGAACTAAAGTTAAGGACGGTTCATAGCTGCCATGTGGGTGCTGGGAATCGAACCCAGGTCCTATGCAAGAGCAGTCAGTGCTCTTAACCACTGAGCCGTCTCTCCAGCCCCATAAATAAAATATTTTTAAAAGCATAAATTATATTTGATTCTACGATAAGAATCTTCATTTCTTGTTTTTAAAAAAGAAAATCAGAATAGTTCTATTAGGCTTTCTCCCATGGGCTGTGGGCTGTCTAGCCTCAAGTTTCTAGGCCTGATATCAATACCAGACATGGGCTCTATCTTATAAAGCAAGCCTTAAATCCACTTAAAAAGTAGTTGCTTACTCCTGTAATATTCATGCCACTATTGCACCAGCAGGCATATCTTGCTGGGTCAGTTGTTGTAGCTCACAGAATTCACAGTTGGGTAAGGGTCATATTTTCTCTTCAGGTAGCTTACAAAGCACCTTCCAGCACTATAAAAGCTAAGAGAGTAGAGATGAGGCTTTGGAGAAAGAACCAGCTTCATTTCTCCTTATTTGTTCAACAGTTCATATATGTAGTGTCTTCAGCAATAAGGTCTCATTGTGACGTTCTGGTGGATAACCAGGAGCAAGGACAATGGCTAGTACTGTTTGAGTGTCTATGGAACCCGTGGTCAACAGCTTCAAAATAGAATCCATTCCTGCCACTGGACTTTTACTTGCAAGCCTATTGTGTCCAGTAGGGGCAATGTCCCCCTGTTATAAAGTAATCCCTTTTAACCTTTTTTAAAATAATGTGTATGTATATACTTTAAGTAGCTTCTATAATGATCCAACTACTCTGCTAAATATAGTATCAAACTGATTTCTAATGACTTATTGTTAGACCCATAGATTAATACAGCTCTCAACTCTCAGCAGAAGCACCCTTATACATCAGATGATGATTAACACAACAAACCACAACTAATCAAAGTACAGAGAATAAGAAGCTGCAGACTGCCTATCCTGAATAGGAAAGCTACATCAAACTTCTGCTTTCCAAAGCTCAGGGATCATTGTAGAAGAGAGGACAGAAAGAGTCTAAGAGTCAGAGATGGTGGATGACCACAAGGAAACAGTTTTCTAGACAGCTATGCAGCTACTCACATGAACTCACAACAATACTGACAGCATGGACAAAATCCTAGCATAGATGTGGGAAAGTAGGTAAGAAACTCCTATCCTACCTGATGAACTATTGGCAACCAATGGCTGCTGGGAGGGGGATAGTAAGTCTCATTTAAGGGTGAGATTTTTAGTAAGTTGATCAGGCTCCAGTAGATGGAACAACACTGAAGGGCATTTGGGGACACAAACCTGACTCTATAGGCTTTATATATTAGAGTACCAAAATTTGGTGGGGGGGTGGGATTAAGAGGGAGGGTACAGATACAGGAAGGGATCTAAATATGATCAAAATATATTATATGAAATTCACAAAAATTCAATTTAAAAAATTGTTTTAAAGAAAAAAAACAGTATACAATGAAAAATGTGTCTCAAATGCCCTCTTAAAATACAACTGAGATTTATTTTTTGATCCATTTCATACTGACATGATTTACTACAACTTCATTAAAAAGGGACAAAGAAAATAAGTGCTTAAAAAAATCACATAATAAATACCTCATTCTCTTATTAAAGACATAATGCATTGTGATACCCAAACTACTTTCTATGGGCAGTCAACCTGCATCATTTCAACAAAGACTAAAGAAAATAAAAGTAGTATTATTCATTAAAAAATATTAATGATATTTTCTTGAAAAGACTCAAACCAAAATGTTACTGGCACTGTGAAACACCCACTACTGTTTTTTTAGTATCGGAGATAGTGAAGAAACATGGTTCTTTTGCACACAAATTCTAAAAGTTTTTGTTTTGTGACAACCACATGTTGTGAGCAAGATTAAAAGTAGTTCCCAAAATAACTTTAAAAGTTTACCTTTTTGCCAAGGCTAACATAACTTAGAAACCCCTTTTCTCCTAGAAATATTTCCCAACCATCTTGGAGCACACATCTATCCTCCCTATCATGTCCCCCTTATCACCAAAATAACCAACACCAAGAAAGAAGCACTCTTCAGACTCAGTTTGACCTAAGAGAGACTGTGACCATCTTGTACACCCTCTTATCTTATGATGTAACATATCTATCTATCTATAGTACCATGTTTTTTCCAGATAGCTAGAGGCATCAGTGGAATCATTTGGTTCCTGTTCCATGAACAGCACCAGCAGGCCAAACAAATACCTAAACTACCCAAGTCCTATATATCTACTACACAATTGGAGAAAAAAAAAGGGGGATGGGGGGAGGACAGAACTACTGGTATACATGTGTATAATCTCAGCACTTGGAAGGGTTGAGGCAAGAGACTCTCAAGTACAAAGCCTGCCTGGGCTACACAGAGAAACCCTGTCTTAAAACAGAAAAAAGTTTAAAATGGAAGCCAGGCACGGTGGCCCACACCTTTAACCCCAGCACTTGGGAGGCAGAGGCTGGTGGATCTCTGTGAGATGGAGGCCAGCCTGGTGTCCATAATGAGTTCCAGGCCAGCTGGGATTACAGGGAGACCCTGTCTCAGTGGGGGTGGTCACTCTGCCCTCTTGCAGGCTCTGTAGGGTGAGATGAGAGAGATTGTGGGGTGAGACAGCACGTGGGGCCAGCACTCTAAAGCTGATGGAGACTACGGGCAGGCTTGAATGGCACATGGGTTACGGGAAGCCATTTCTTTGTAAGTCACTCCCTCCCAAATGTCATATAAACTATGCAAAATTCAAATAGAACTGTGGTATGCTGGTTCGTCAATCCGCATTAGGACCACAAGACCCTGAGTGAGTGAGGGCACGTCAAACAGAGAGCGGGAAGGGGAAAATTTAGTAAAACATGCCCATAATCCTGTAAGTGACCCTAATGAAACTCAGAAAAAGACAGGAAAGTAGAAGAGAGACTAGTTGGTAAGAGAAAGTTGATCAGCAGCAGAGGGATAAAAGAGGGGTGAATATGATCAAAATGCATTATATACCTATGAAAATGTCCTAATGAAATCCATTATTATATAAAATTAATATATAATAAAAAATTCTTAAAATCCAATGCTGAAACAAGATTTCTATGTAAAATCAATTACATTTCTTGCATTTACAATAAGTAATCAAAAAGTAGTATAAAGATAACAATTCCAAGGTAAAATGGTGCAAACACTTAGGAAAAAGTCTGGTCACTCAAGCTTAAATACTTTTGTCCACACATTTAGACTCTAGGATCTATATGATACTAAAGAGCCACTGCTATTCAATTATGCCTCATGTTCTATTGGGACAACATAGAAGAGCCTACACCAAATTTGTGGGAATTCAAGTGGTCATCATGTACACCAATATTAAACAAAGAACATAAATGGCTATAAATTCATTTTTTCTAACACATCTTTGTGTTAGAAAAACCAAATATGCTGCTGGCCATTAAATTTTCATTCAAGTCAAAATGGTAGAAAAATTATTACATTCAATGAACAAACAATATTTTTATATACAATTATCTACCTTTAGAGTAAAAGAGCAAGTTGGTAACTCTGTACCTTTTTCTCTTTAGATTTCTGTGCAGTATGAGAAATGACATTCTCATTTTGGTGAACATAATCTTGAGCTACAACTGTTTTCACAGGGTCTCCTTCAAGAACACAGTTTAGAAACTGCACTGTATGTTCCAATGAATAACTGCAGAAAATTTAAAATAATATGTTAATAAATAAAAATGAAAGGCCTGTGGAGACATGACCATAAGCAATCTTAAAGCATTTTATAAGAATACAAAAAACTAGGGCTAGAGAGATGGCTCCAAGGTCAACAGCACTCGCTGTTCTTTCAGAGGACCTTGGTTTGGTTCCCAGCACCCACACAGTAGCTCACAACAGTCTAATTCCTGTTCCAGAGCATATGATGCTTTTTCTGGCCTCTGTGGGCACCAGGCACACATGGGGTGCACATAATTACATGCGGGCAAACACACACATAAAAATCTTTTTTTTTTTTAAGTTAATATGAAAAACTGGCTTACTTTTAAGTTTTCAATATTGAAATTAAATGTTCACTGTGTATCTCAAAAGTTCAAGAGTGATCTGAGGGAAAATAATAAGTAATAAGTTCTCAAATACTTAAAATAACAATGCTTAGGATCAAACCCAGAGTCTTGCACATTCCAGGTAGGCATTCTACCACTGAGCTACCCCCTCAAAAATGAATGTCAAGCCAGGCACAATGGCACATACTATAATCCCAGCTACTCAGGAAGACTGAGACAGAACCACAAGTTTAAAGCCAGCCTGGGCTACATGACAAAATTCTTTCTCAAAATAAAAATATCAAAAAGCTAGGGATACAGCCCAGTGATAGGGAACTTGCCTAACATACATAAGGCCCTGAGTTCAATCCTCAGCACTGAAAGAAAGTAATATTGGGAGAGTAAGGGGTGGGGAGAGTCATGGATACTAAGTTACAATTAGACATGAGCAAGAGGTTCTGTTGTGCTTTTAATACAGTAGGGTGATTATACAGATAACAACTACATACTGCACATTTCAAGAAGCTAGAAAAGGATGTTGAAAGTTTATCATAATAAAATGGTAAGTGGGATGGTGAGGTGGCTCAGCAGGTAAAGAAAGACTCTTGTTGCCAAGCCTGACAGTCTGAATTCAGTTTCCAAGATTAACATGGTGAAAGGAACTTGTATACATATGCAAGCATGTGTGTGTGCACGTGTGTGCCAGTTAAAATTAACTTAGCTGGCTGGGGATGTGGCCAAGTTGGTAAAGCACTTGTCTAGCACACATGAAGCCCTAGATAGGATTCCCAGCACCACATAAAACTGGCCATAATGGCACATGCCTGTAATCCCAGCACTTGAGTAGAGGCAGGAGGATCAGAAGTTCAAAGTCATTCTCAGTCACATGGCAAATTTGAGGACAGCCTGGGCTACATGAGATCCTATCTCAAAAAAAAATGTTTTAAAGCTAATTTTTAAAAATAAAGATGATGTATAAGGCTCTGGATTCAATTCCCAGCACCAAAATTGTAGGAGGAGATAATACTGATAATTCAATTTCTAATTTCTTATTTGTTTGTAAGGAGACGAGATCTAGCTACGTAGCCCTGGCTGGCCTGGAACTTGTGGCATGTCTATAATGCCAGACTCTGAATTTCTGGCCTTATTCCAAGCAGATGAACCACAAATTCCAAGCAGATAAGCCACAAATTTCATATTATCATCTGTATTCCTTAAATCTTTTGTGGACTCTAGTTTCAATTTCCTTCAAAAATCAGACACAGGGCTGAAGAGATGGCCCGGTGATCAAGAGCACTGGCTGCTCTTGCAGAGGAGCTGGGTTTGGTTTACAGCATCCCACATATTGGCTAAAAACCATCTGCAATTCCAGTTCCAGGGGATACAACACCCTCTTCTGGCCTCTGTGAGCATTGCACACATGTGGTGCACTTACATACATGCAAGTAAAACACTCATACACATAATAAAAAATAAAAAATTTTAAATTGCTTATTTAAAAAAAACCACAAATAATATATCTCTAAGGTGATAATTTTATTGTATCAAATTCCAGTTATACCATGAGGTTCTAGTTTTTTTAAAAAAAAAAAAGTTTAAACAGAAATGCAAAACAGGAAAGTAAAACACTGTCCTACCTCGGTCCTACATTATTTGGGCAGGTTTTTCATGGTGATAGTATATAGTCTGGAACATGAATTCTGCAAATTAACCAACATCTGATACACTCATGTTCATTATCTAAAGAAACTCATTCCAAATTATGATTTTATATGGCTCATTATTTCACATTATTTATGCCTCTCATCTCGTCCATTTGCCAGATAATGAAAAACTGACCACACAGAAATATTTTTGAAATGTGATAGCTAGGCTAGTGATACAGGTCATAGATGGAGCACTTGACTAGTATATGGTAGGCCCTGGGCTCAATCCCCAGCACTTGGGGGTTGGTGGGGGGAGAACCTGATAGCCAGGTTATCTTAAATAGTCTGATATTTTGTTTGCCATTATTCTTCAACTTACTAAAGACAACCCTTGAAGGGAAGTCACTTGGGACTATAAGCTTTAAACTCTCTCATCTTTTTGCCTCAGATACGCTGAAAACAGAATTTCTAGGGGCTGGGTGCAACCAACAATTATCCACATCCGTTTTAGTCCTTAAACTTACCCACTCACTCAAAGGGCTAGGAGTCACTCTCCCACACTAGTGTTTGAGGGTTGTGGCCCAAGATTATCCCTCAAGGACAAATAGCAGCAGCTGAGGCTAATACCCTCCTCACCATGAGGAAGCCGATGCTACTGTTTGCTAAGAGAATCATTCAGCTGCTGACAACGACATGGGACAATCAACCACCTACTGTCCAGTCACTCTGGCCATGCTCCAAAAGGATTTTTCCAGCCCCCTCACCTGTCCTAGGAAACATAACTTTGGACTGTTTCACCTCCAAATCCTCTGACCCTAGCCCCAGTGGAAAAGTTACCATATGCCAGCAAGACCTCCTTATTCCCACCCCCACATTTGGGAGTCTTTAATATATAATTCTAGGAAAGCATTCCATTAGGGTCAAAAATAAAGTAATTCATGTAATATTTATAAAAACTGACAAGTACAAAAGCACACAGAATATCTCAAATTCCAAAAACTAGAACTGCTCCAGGCTTATATTCTAACACAAAAGCAACAGAACATTTATTCACACCAAAGTTATTTTTCCATTTAGATAATTGTTCTTGGGCAAATAAAAAGGCAAACTAAAATCAGAGATATTTTGAAAAATAATCAAAATTTGAAAATAATGTCAAAATCAAAACAACAGAGAAAATTCACACCCTTAAATGCATGTTATTAAAGAATGGAAGAAAATGAGCTAACTAGAGTTGAAAATATAAATTTTTTTAAAAACTTTGAGAAAGGAATCAACAAAAATAAATGTAAACCAAGTTGGAGAAATGGCTCAATGGTTAAGAGCACATACTGCTCTTGCAAAAGACCAGAGTTCAGTTCCCAGCACCCATCTGAAGCAGCTCACAACTGCCTGAAACTCCAGCTCCATGGGGACCCAAAACCTGCACTAACGTGCAGATACTCAGACACACACATATATATAATTAAAAATAATTTTTAAAAATCTTAAAAAAATAAATGTAAGCCATAAAACAATAGACCAACCTATTAACCAAAAAGCTTATTGTTTAGAAGGACTACTCCAAAAAAGAAC